CTCTATTTTTCTCTCTTGCTCCCTTTGTTGTCCCTCCCCCCCCCCCCCCCCCACTCGCTCTCTCTTTCTGCCCCCCCCCCCCTCTTTTTTCCTCCCCCTCTCTCTTTTTTCTTTCTTTCTCTCTCCTCACACCAACACATTTTGCATTACCAATGATTCTGTCGCGTACTCAAAAAAAACTTCTGGCTTCATTTTGAAATGTTGCAGCCTGGTACTATGTGATAGAGAATAGCATGCCTGACACTAAAAGTATATTTCAATGGGTATACTGTGTCTGCTTGTCTTTAGATGATGATGAGTGTGCTATGGGTAGTCACAGATGCTCACCAAACGCGCAGTGCACCAACACACCGGGAACGTACACGTGTGCGTGTCATGCGGGCTACACAGGCAATGGAACGCAATGCAAAGGTAACTTTTGAACTAAAATCCATGTCTGGAAAATTTGTGGCAATAAAATGGATCAACTGCGCTCTCATTCTATACAACCATCAAGGCAAAGGTGGTGGGTGTGGTTCCCAGAACGTTTCCTCGTGATTGTCATCAGTTGAAATAACATCACATTATTGATACGAATAAAAAATAACAGAGTATCATAGATAGAAAGTGTAACATTTTAGCAAGAAGAAAAATACTGATGACAATCACAAGAAAACGTTCTTGGAACCTTACCCACCACCTTTGCCCTGATGGTTGCACAGAATGAGTGCGCAGCTGATCCTTTCTATTGCCATGATTAAATTGTTCTCTCCGCGTAGGTTATTTCTGGCAAAAATATTTTTTTGAACACTCACTGCTTGGATGATGACTACACCATAACTATGTGATTAGAACATCGTTGGCCTATGGCGAAGGTCAATGGGTTGAGCTCTGGTGGTGACAGTTATTTTTCTCAGACTTTTTTCTACTTTTCAACCCCTCAAAACACAGGTTATCAAGCAATCCGTCAGAAAATTCTGTTGCAGCACAACATTAATTCGGTCAGAGATATTGTGCTTATGGCTTCCTGATGCGGCCTTCTCTACTCTATCAATTTGTTCACCCGGATATGACTGTATTATGCCTGCCTGTTGTATGTTGGATGTGTTCTGTTTCAGATATCGTGGACTGTATGTCATCGTCGTGTGGGCCAGGCACATGTGTTGAGCTGGTTGCTGGCTTCACGTGCAATTGCCCACTGGCATTCACTGGAGACCGATGCCAGTCAGGTATGATCTTAGGCAATGATGTAATGGTGTAATGTTTTGTGTGGAATATGGACCTGAGGATCTTAGGCATGTAATGGTACAATGTTTTGTAGGGATTATGCTGCTGATAATCTGAAGTGGTGTTGTGGTGCAATGCTGTAAATGTTGCTCATCTGTTGTTGTGCCTCAAGTGGACTTCCATGGAGTGTTCTCACTTTGCTTACTCGTAGAGTTCTGCGTCCTTCCCGTTTATGTCATCTTGCAGAGGTTGACCAGTGCATGATGGGTCTGCATAACTGCGACAGTGAGGCAACGTGCATGGATACTACACATGGTTTCACATGCCAATGTTGGTCTGGACTAGCTGGTAACGGAACTATCGGTAACTGTGCAGGTACGTAATGTGCCTGACTATCTGTACTGTTCCTAATTTGACACAAATTTTAAATTGTTACCATCTCCAGTGTATTGCTGAGCACCTTTGGATCATGAATCTCACCAACATATTTCATATCTCAACCTTGTTTGCCTGTATTACCGGTATTAATCAACTGATTGATGTCTTGCTGCTGCACCAATGCAGATATAAATGAATGCCTGACCTCACCGTGTCATACTGATGGTGTTTGTACGAACACACACAGAAGCTACAACTGTACCTGCAAAGATGGTTATGTTGGAAACGGACGCGACTACTGTGAGTGTGATTTGGACATGACATTGTAATACATTTACACTGAACAGTCTACATACACTCATACCGGCAATTTTTAAACAGTTCTATATACTCGTTTAGGTTAAAAGAAGTTGGTTGTTCTTGCGTGTGCAACTTGTAAGTTCGTCTTGTAGGTTAATCGGCTCTAACCTATTTCTTATTTTGATGAGGATGCATTGCTACTGTGATGGCGATAGCAAAGGACAAAATTACGCTCCAGCCTCTCTTGTCCAGGCACCTTGGGACCGGGCAACGCCTGTATCTCAGATACCCATATTTGGCACGTGCTGCACATGTACAAGGATAAACCTAGAAGAATTGATGAAAAATGTGTGGATTGCACAGGTTGGCAGTGACACAAGTTTTACTGATGAGCGCGTCTGCTTACGCTATTGAACCCCCGAAACCCCCCCCCCCCCCCGAAATCAAAGCACTCTTGCCTTCGCAACCCCAGCTGAAGGTACCCAGTAATGAGGGGTGGAGAGACGTGGCAGTTTCAGGGGCGGGATGAGAGACGTTTGATTGTATCTATTAGTGAATCACATTAAATATACGGGATCAGTTTGTACCACATGCACAGTGCATAAAACCCAATTCCCAGCTCAACCAATGGCTTCGTGCTCTTTATCCTCATCTCCTGCAGGTGTGAAGGAGCTTGTGATCGATGTAACGCCTCAAACCCGCAATGCCTCCGGTGATTTGCTAAGCTCACGGTCGGACATTGTCATCTTCTCCAGCTCTAACATTGGCGATGCCTGGGTGCCAGTGAGGTCCTTCTCCGGTGTAGGGATGGTAGCCGTTCCAGATATATCCTCGCCAGGAAGATACTCCGTAAAAGTGACATCCACCTACGAATATCCAGACCGAGTGGACACAGACACACAGTTCTACTACGTCAATGTACAGCAGAGTAGTAAGTCAATAGTCAGTGAGGCAGTCAGTCTCCAGGTGTCCCAGCTCTAACACCAGAACACATGCCCATGAATGATAAGGGCAATTAGTGTGTGTGTGTGTGTGTGTGTGTGTGTGTGTGTGTGTGTGTGTGTGTGTGTGTGTGCGTGTGTGTGTATGTATGTTTGTGCCTGCTAATATACTCTCTCAATGCCTAGCTCAGTGGAACTGTATATCTCTAACAGGCAATCATGTTACTTGCAGTATGCCACGTCTAGGCACTACATTTTGGACAGCGTTGCTGGTGTATCTTTTTAGCAGTCTTTCCACAATGAGTTAGTAGTGGAGGCATCGGTGATACCCCTAAAAATGTTGCCTGCTTGCCACGTCCTAGCCAGTGCTTTGCCCATCGACTTGACACTTGATTGACTCACGATTGCCATGCATAGCACATTAGGGGAAAAGTGCTAGCAACCAACAGTCCTTCCATTGATTCTTTTTCTATTAAAATTTGAGGACACAAGAACAGACTATTTACATTGTGAGGTTCAGTAAAATTTCTCAAAACAATGACTCCCTCAGCTGCCAGATACGGTAGCTTTGTCTTGTCAATGGAGGTGCTCTGAGTAGAGGTTACATTGGACTTGGTTGGGAGCAGTGTGGGCTGACTACACCAGCCCTGTGTGTGGACATACATGTAGGTGTCCGTAATTGAGAGGTGTGACAATAGTTAGTTGGGGTGGGGATGTTACTGTACTTGTGTGCATTCAGTAGACACCGTAGATGACCATCACAAGGCATTTGCAAACGTTTCACTGCAGAGTGCATCAGTACTGTGGACATCGTAGGTTGATCAAGCCACTTATACCCTCAGACTATCCCATTCAGTCTTGCTGACTGCATGCTGTTGCTTGAGGCTTGATTTGTGTGAGTACATTGCACCAATTGCTCCTTTCCTTCAGAAAGTTCTGTGTCTGACCTTTGTTTATTATCCTTGCTTGTAGACTATTTCGACTCTCTCTCCGAATGGGTGCTGGGCATGTCCAACAACGCCTCGTCCTTCCTGGATGTACTGGCGACCCAGGAAAACCAGTTTGAGGTAACCATCAAACTGCCCACACTGAGCATGCTTGATCAGGCTGGCCTGACCAACTGGGTGGTGGAATGGAGAGCATACAGCAGTGTTTGCCAAACAGCTAGCACCGTGGCTGGATGTGACTGGACGCGCTTCAACACTGCAATAGACAACAAGGAGATTGTGATTCCAGCAATGAGTGGTGATTATGAGCTAAAGACGTTTGGTGAAGATCTTCAAAGTGGCCGCCGCCGAAGGCAGACATCAACAGATGATCAGTCACCCCCTGTGACAGTCAGCATTAATGGAACATGTAAGCGTTCGAAAACACTCTAATCTCTGCTTCTTTTGATACTCAGTGCCAGTGTTTGACAAATGATTTGGGAACTATGGTCATGGTTAGATCAGTGTATTGTCCAATGTGAACCACTTACTATGCTGGAGAAGAGAAAAAGAATTCACGGTTCACTTGAGTCTGAGTTAGACTGAGTTTTCAGCATCCGTAGGAACGCCACCACTCTGCAATGATCAAAGTAGGAACGCCATCACTCTGCAAAGATCAAAGTAGGAACGTCACCACTCTGCAATGATTAAAGGCGCAGCTGCAGCTCCTAAGGTGGTGGGAGGTGAGTAGATGAGCCCACCAGCTGGAGAAATACCTATGGCAATACTCTGTACCATGCTGATGATGGTGATCTGTGTGCATGTTGCGATGCCGGGATGCTGCTGTCTCTATTTGTTTGAACAGTGGCAAACTGCAGCGCGGTGATGGTACCATCCGGTACAGCCATGCCAGCGACGTCCATCATCGCTGGACAAAACGTGACCATCATGTGCCTGTCTGGCTTTACGCTTTCCGGGAGCAATGTCCTGCACTGTCTGCCAAATGCCACGTACAACGCACCTATTCCAAGCTGTGATGGTAAGCTGTCTGTTTTGTAGTCGACTTTTGCAATGTAAAATAATTCTTCCACAAACAAGCTTCTTGTGTAGTTTGTTCATACAAACATGTAGACTCTGGGGTGACTGCAGTTGGCTTGGCAGTCTGTACACATGATACTGGTCACCATAGGGTGTAATGGCTGGCCATACGCCACTTTTGCTCAGGGATTCCGCAGAATGTAGGTCATACACACTCGGGGAGAGTTGTGGTTGCTGGCGACAGTGCTCAATGCACCTAGATGCAGAGCCTAGTACACACACTTGAAAACAGGAATGAAATGTAGGTCATACATGTGGGGGTCCATATGTGTGTGTGTGTGTGTGTTCGTGTGTGTGTGTTCGTGTGTATGTGTGTGTGTGTGTGTGTGTGTGTGTGTGTGTGTGTGTGTGTGTGTGTATGTATACATGTGTGTGTGTGTGTGTGTGTGTGTGTGTGTGTGTGTGTGTGTGTGTGTGTGTGTATGTATACATGTGTGTGTGTGTGTGTGTGTGTGTGTGTGTGTGTGTGTGTGTGTGTGTGTGTGTGTGTGTGTGTGTGTTGATACGTGTTGTGTTGTATGTACAGTCACCTACATGTGCCTATAATATTTGGTATAGCGCATACATTTGTGATTTGACCCCGCTTCCTCTTTCACACCTTTGCGTACGCACATGTACCTCGTATGCACTCGCGATAGCTGTAGCATGCCTGTGCTGTTTTCATGCCTGCTCTTTTGCTTATGCACTGCAGATGTTGATGAGTGTGCCGCCCAGCCAAGTCCGTGCGGTTCCAACGCCAGTGCAATGTGTATGAATACCGTGGGATCATTCATGTGCATCTGTAGACCGGGTTATGAAGTCTCCACACCAACAACGTGTGTTGGTAAGAAAAAATTCTCTCATAATATTCTATTCACTGGTTTGAGGGAAAGATGCAAACGGGAAAATAATATAATAATATTTTGTTCGTTCTTAGTTGGAACCGAAAGATTTTCCTCTGGTGAGAACGCAGAATTGCCTGTGCTCTAAATATATTCAAATAAAAGAATCAAGCAAACAAACACACACACACACATGCACACACACACACGCACACACACATGCACACACATGCACACACACACACACACGCGCGCACACACACACATACACACACACACACACACACACACACACTTATTCGTTCTTAGTAGGAACCGAAGGTTTTTCCTCTGGTGAGAAGGCAGAATTGCCTGTGCTCTAAACAAATTCGAATAAAACAAAAAAGCAAACATCAAGTTCCGCGTCCATCATTGTAACGGCGCCACTTATATCCTGCTTCTGATTGAGTCAGGAGGGCTTATGTGATTGCTGTGAGCTAGTGTAGTAAGGGTGATCATTAGTACATATGGGTCTTGTTACTCACCCAAAGTTCATTCATCTTCTGTGAGCCTTTACTGGCCCGGCTCAACCTTCTTACTCACATATGTGGGCATATTGGCATCTACATGTACTTTCATCTTATTATGGGGTAGGGAAGGAAAAAATAAACTGGTGCGTTTTCTTTCTCTCAGATACTGATGAATGTAGTACTGGTGCACATAACTGTGATGCTAATGCAATGTGTGCAAACAACGCTGGATCCTTCAACTGTATGTGCAACACTGGCTATTCTGGAAACGGCACAAGCTGTACTAGTAAGTGGAAAAGGTGCACTCTTCTCCAAAACATTGCAGGCTTAGACAGCGTTATGCGGGCAGGTGTGTATTTGCTGCACTTGTGCCGGGTGTTTTTGTTTCACCACCATTGCTCTACCTGCATGATTACAATACTCTGAATGTGTGCTCTTACTCTCTGCCTCAGTCCAATCCTGCCCACAGCTGACTGCACCAGCGGACTCCACGCTAATGCCGAGCAATCAAGCTACCATTGGTGGCACAGTCACTCTTCGGTGTAACATTGGATACGAGCCAACTGGAGAGACAATTGTAGCTTGTCAGGATGATGGAACATACAATGGAACGCTGTCAAGTTGCACAGGTAATCATAGGACTCTCTTCAAATTGCTGCCTATTGAAGACATGACATATTTGTAAGGCCTTTTTTTAATTTATTTCAGGTCACACGGTTCTGTAAATATATGTTTCACTCCTGTCTACTCTGGTAGGGTGGATGGCATTGTGTGTTGTGTCAGAAGCCAATAGCTTAATGCATGGTTTGGCTCTGTGTTAGTTCCCTGAGGTAGCCACAGTGATCGATCGTGGGGGCATTCCTCTCGCTCCCACACGGAGTTGTAGATTCTCTTTCCTAGGACTTGTTTCATCATATACTTGACCATATTTTTGTCTCAACCCTCGTAATTGCCCCAATACCAATCTTTCCGCCAACCTACCTCTTTTCCCTGATTGTGTGTGCTGGGAGTGTGGATGCACCACTATTTCGCACCACTACTCTACAAAGTCGGCAGATTGGCGATACAAGCTAAAAGACTTGCACATTTACATTTCTCTGTTTCTCTTACCTTCATGCCACGATCATCTGTATCCTTTCCCACTCGGCTGCGATGTACTGTTGTCTCAGATATCGATGAGTGCACAAGTGGAGTTCACAATTGCCCAGCGTCTGCCATGTGTCTGAACAACCGAGGTAGTTTTATCTGTATGTGCTTGGCCGGCTATACTGGAACAAACTGTGAAACCAGTAAGTACATCATCAAGCCATATCCATCGTAGCTCACTCTCACAATCTTTTCACATTACCAGTTTAAGCCGTTGACCATAGCAAATTGTACTGCTGGGTGCCAAGGACCGGACAGGCTAGGATTGCACCAAGTGCAGCATACCCACGTGTACACAGTGAATCAACTCTGCATAGACTATAGTACATGTAAAATAGGAACGGCCTAGGCTAACATACTGCCCCCTACTCCACTTTGGCAACTGGCGTACCCCCTTTGGCAACTGAAAGTATTGTAGACACTTCTCTGTCATACTTTTATGCTCCTTGAGACCTTGACACACTATTTGTGTTACTGTTCCTGTGTTTGTGTACTCCTTTCTACCTTCCTCTTCAAGACATTGACGAATGCGTCCGTGACGATGTGCAGTGTGCTAACGGTGGCACACGTCAAGATGAGATCAATGACTGTGTGTGCCTGTGCGCGGTTGGCTTCATGGGCAAGTATTGCAACATGTCAACGCAATGCTCTAACGACACGGCGTGCAGCGCAACTGGTTACTGCAGTCAAACGTGCTCTCCACCAGCCACCTTGCCACCATTCACCACATCTCTGCTTGACGAGGTGCAGCGGAGTGAGGCTACGATCCCGACCAGCTTTGATGGTGAAAAGTGCGTGCTTGTTGATCCCAGCAACCACCCTACTCCGACAAATGAGCTGACAATATTCGCCTCAGTCTTCCTGGAGGACTTCACAGATGGCTATATCCTACTGAAGGGAGACTCACCAGATTCTCAAGCGTATGGTCTGCGCATCGTCTATGAGGGCGGTACTGCTGGAGCAAAGATTATTTTCCCTGTGAGTAATGGCTCCACAATGGCAAACAGCATTGTGACAAGGATTATATTAATTAGTTCCTATATACGCAAGTCTATAGGTGATGGGTGTTTGTTCTTTTTCTCTTTCCACAAATGTCGTAGTTGACACGTACACACTTTGAAATAGCATGCGTCAAGCTAGCTGTGATTTTCTTTAGGCCAACCCATACATTACCAAGATTTCCTGATAAATCATCTTCAAGTGTAACATGGTCAAATGGATTAGGTTGTGCATGACATTGTTTTCAATATCCAATTTTCTGTGGTTATCTTATCCCCTTCGCAGCATCCTGTTGTCGAAAACTCAGCTCAGCGCCACGCCATTTACCAGGCACCTATTCCAAGTTCGGTCTCTCTTTTCGGTCGTTGGGTGACGGTAGCCGTGACAGTTACCAACACACCCGCAGGACTGTCTTCGTCCACACTCTACAAGTTCTTTGTTGATGGTGTCAAAGTTAATGAAAGGCCGCGCTCGAATCGAAGAGCTGACTTTGGAACCTTGGTAAGGAAATTTCCCGAGGTGTCTTGCAGAGGTGCTTGCTTGGAATGCATGAGAAGAAGGTTCACAACCGAATATCACGACAGCAGTGAATGCATGTTACGGTGTAGTTCAGTTTGTTATGTCTGTTCATGATATGTGAAAAAAAGGATTATCTGCCTGTACTGTTCTCCACATGAATGTTCCATAGAAGACCTGATGTGGTTGCACTGAAACAAGTAAATGCATGCGCGTGATAATGAACGCACATGCGCACTGCATGCTCTGTACTGCTCGCATGGTGCAGGGGTTCTTTGACTGGACACATGCTGTAGCTAACACCTTGCATTGGTGTTGCATTGCCATTTCATGCGTTAGTTTAGTTCCTGTAAAGAAACCACTAGGTCATCTTGCTATGATTGCACGAGTGTTCGGTGGGCTCCTGTCTGATTGTTCTTGCAACATGTCGATTGTGATAAGGACTGCATGCAGTGGAGTTATTAATGCAGGGACAGTCAGACAGTAGATAGTGGATGCATCTACTCATAACGGGTATTTCCCCTTTCGAGTTCACGATGTTTCCTGCATTACGATGTGTACAAGTGAAATCTTCCGTTTCATGTTTCCTTGTCCTGGTGTAGGGTGGCCCTCTACATGTGGGCTGTCGTGCTGACACATCGCTGTTCCGCTTCAAGGGCAAGATGCGACACGTCTACATGTACAACAGTGCCCTGAACGACTCGCAAGTTGCAGCGCTGCATGCCAGCAGTGTCCAGAACGGACGCTGTGTGAACTATCTTGGCGCGGGCGATGCATGCCAGCAAGTTACTTACCACTACGCTGCTCGAACTCGTGCGCATTGTGTTCTGGAGAATGCCAAGTAAGTTTTGTTGTACATGAATGCTGTGTTCTTTTCTTTTATAACTAGTCAGCAACGGTATGAGGCCGTTTACTGCAGAGCCCCTACTACTGTCGAATGGTGGCTTCAAGTCTCTTAGGTATGCAGCATTATTCAATAGAATAATGCTAGTCAATTTACACCTCCCTAAAAGATTTGTTGCAAAAGAAGCTTCCATAGGCGGGATTTGACTCTGCACCCCATCTTACCAGGTCAGTGCCTCACCGATTAGGCTACCAGAGATGACACGCACTATCGGGGCCCTTCTCGCTTCAGGTCATTGCAATTATACCGCATTTGCCAGAGTATACTGGGCATTTTTCGAGACCCTATAGTCGGCGAAGAATGGTATGTCCCACCCATTCCACCATCTCCCTCAGAGTTGATAGCTGCTTGTTATGTGCTGAATGGCCATTATTTGTCTCTTTGTGAATTCGGTAATTACTGTGCATGCTGCTATGATGATAATTCCACTGGCTGATCGTAATCACAAAGACATTGCCAACCTGGGTCAACGTGCGTTAACGAGCATTCTCTTGTGAGTCAAGCATGACTGTGGCGTGGCAAAAATACTGAACTGAGTGCCAAGCATTGATTGGTCAGGCCCGTCGCACCGACTTCGGAGGTGGGGCGGCCATGGAAAGGGGGTCCGGGGGCCCTCCCGTGGCAAAAATTTCAAAAATTGAAGCCAACTGCAAGCATTTCCGGGCATTTGGTGCCATTTCAGTGTAACACACAGTGAAAGACTTTTGATTCTGCAACAAACCAAGAAGACGCTACGATTGAGGACAAGGGTTCCTCCCCCGAGAAAAAAAATTCAAAAATTGAAGCCAATTGCAAGCATTTCCAGGCATTTGGTGTCATTTCACTGTACACTGTGACTGCAATGAAAGGATTTTTGATTCTGCAATAAACCAAGATCGGGGACAAAGATTTGCCACGTTTGCGCTGAGCTGCGATCATCGCGCTTTGTTGCAGTGTGCTAAAAAAAAACCGCCGAAAAAGTGGGGCGGCCTCAGCCGCCCCAGCCGCGCCCCGGCTGTGATGGCCTTGTTGGTATGATTTTCTCTGTGATTTGCTTCTGAACTGACGTCCCGGCAGTTTGAATAATCATTTTCTTTAGGTTGCATGTTGGTGCAGTCAGTGAGGAAGTGTGATCTCACGTGGGCTTCAGCACTGCAGTGCTCTCTAATGTGATTTCAATAACATTGCTATCCCGTGGTCTGTTCTGCTTTGCTGTAGGTGTCTTCCATCGTTACGCTGTGCGGCGAGCTCCACGTCAAGCACCGGCTACTCCTGCCAAGATGTTGGTAAGTCAGTGTCCAAACAGAACCAAAATGTTCGTATCATCTCTCCAACACTTTCACAGCCAAGGTCTTATAGTTGATTCAACTTCAATAAAAATTTAAAATTTCACGGTTCGCTTGAGACTCGGCTGGAAGCCGGGTTTTCCGCATCCGTAGGAACGACACCACCCTTCAAGGATCAAGGTGCAGATGCAGCTCCTAAAGCGGTGGCAGATGAGTAGATCAGCTCACCAGCAAGTGGTCAAAAACCGAAAATTCCATTCACTGCATCCATGATTCAACTTATAACGAACTTAAATGTAGCCAATTTCGTGATATAGCAAACCATAGTCCATGTCCCTGTTTGAACCCATACAAAATTAGCCCTGTGTAGCAAGTACCTTTTGTTTCTAATGAACCATAATCTTGTTGGACAGCATGTACACCAAGTGCACTCATTCAGTCATGGGCCAAGTGACCGTCATGGCGAGTTTGCTGGTATGGTGTGCGTGCATTTCTGTTATAAAGAACTCTGACTATAAAGAACTGATTTTTTTTATCAAGAATCAGCTGTACGAGTAGCAGTCCCATACAAGCAGTGAGCCAGGGAATGCAGACCAGTCCATGATCCAGTACACATGTGAACTTCATCTAAAATGCAATCCATTCTTGTACACCGGTCACTCTGCTCATCTGTAGGAACGTCTTGTATGACCAGTAGTGACTGCACCATACCATCTCAGTTCTGCTACGACTCTGCAAGTATCCCACCAGTCAGCACCATGCCGTCAGCTGTGGAGCTGTTGCATCATGTCAGCGGCAGAGTGACAGCGTATGATGGAACACGCGTCACTACTGTTGCCAACGACCGAGCCTATCCTAACATTGTCAGCAGCTTCACTATCTTTGCCCAAGTTCGGCAAGATGCTGGCACTTCGGGCTACTTGCTCATGAAAGGTGAGCCATCTACACGATCATCCCTTGCCTACCCCATCATCCCCAATACATGTACATTTCCTTTGATTTTCAAAGGTGGTCAGACCTGTACACGTACTAGGAGAATAGGAGACCGTACTTATATTGGTGATGTGTAGTATTATGGATTCTAGCAAGATTTATTGACTCTAGGGTGGGTGTCATGCCACTCATAGTAATTACACTGTAAGGGGCCATCCGGCATTATCTATATTTTCACGAAAGGAAAAAGGTATAGTTAGGACCCTCCCCCCCCCCCCCGAACGAAAAATAGATTGACGTGACAGCTAGAATGCACTGATGTCTCCCATATCAATATTTTTCAAAACGAAACTCTCCTTTACCCACCCACCCATAAGCGAAGCTTTTTTTTCTTTTCGTGTGAAAGATCGATAATTATGGACTTTAAATACCTGTAGTAATATATATTTATTGGGGGAGGGGAGATGGTATATGCCTGGCTCGTGGCAACATGAACAATATACTTCCTGCCATTGTCCTTAGTGCGGTGATACGGCAAGCAGTAAGCCGACTTTATCTCAATAGATTCTTTCTTAAGTGCCAGGTAGTCCAGATTTGGGGTTTGAAGGTTGTTGCATGCAATGGTCGGGTTACCCACCAGCACACGGATACACGAGACCTGTTATAACTGCAGGCAAGCCCCACAAGCTGTCAATTCCCGGTGCTAATGTATTACACCAAACTGTTATGACAACGCACGTGCAATTGGTATTACCTGTTGTAATTCTAACGTATCTTTGTGTGTACCGCTTCATGCAGGCTCTGAACATCAAAACCGTGACTACGCTCTGTTCCTGCGTGGAACCAATCGCCAGTGGTGGCTTGACCTGCGTACAGTCCGTGGCACGGTTAGCATCATTGCACCACGGTTAACCGTTGCCGGCCGCGGCTGGAAGACCATCGGCGTGGTTGTCAATGTACCAACAGACACAGTGGCGTTCTACGTTGACGGGCGACCAGTGCTTACGAAACTGCTAAATTTGAACGGCACTGCACTGGATCTCCAGCCACAGGTAAGTGCCCAGCGTAGAGGAATGCTTGAACAATGGGTGTTGAATCAATGTACTGTACGGGACACAGTGGTTCAGTCTGTGTCTGCTTGAAAACGAACAAGGAATCATTATCAGCTATGTGTACCAGTATCATACTCTTGATCTGGAGCAACATATGCACATGTGTTTGTACTTGGTGGCTGTATTCTTGGCCTTCCAGAAACATATCCTGGTGGTGGGTGGTCGTATCAGCAACAGTGGTACAAATCCCTACCAGTTCCGTGGTGACATCTCCATTGTGCGTGTCATGCCAATGGCTATGACACAGGCACAGATCTACGCTGAGCATGTTGCGGCTAGCAAAGTGACAGGAGTGTGCAACACGTACAGCACTGCCAATGCAGCATGCAGCCTGGCCACCAGTGATGCCAATACACCAAAGAGGTGAGTACCATGTACTGAAGTCTTGAGGCTCTCAAACTGTGGAAACAATTCCTATTGCCATCACCATCATGCTTTGTAGAACTCGAAAGTCATTGCCATGCTAGCTCTCGTCCATGAAATCAACGGAGAAGCAATATAAGAAGTCAGTTCATTCAAGCACCTTGGAAGCTTGATTAGCTAAGATCAACAAATGCACACAAGATGTGATAAATAGCAGTGGCTACAGGAGCAATGGCAAGATAAACAATAAATATATTACCCTTCAAATGAAGCTGAGGTTCATATATGCCATCGTGATTTCCACATGACTCTATGGCTGTCAGAAATGAACACTCGCAGCCAGATTTACAGGATTGAGGCCTTTGAGATCATGTGTTTCCCAAGGCTGCACGAGGTCAGCAACAGCGAGCGTCGAACGGACATTTCAGTCCGTCAGGAGATAGACTCCATTCAGAAACAGGCACCCTTTTTTCGTACTTGTGTGTTGCCTGATGATTGCGAGAGCATGGAACTTGAAGTAGCAGCAAACAAGCCTTGATTGTCCTTGTTGTTCTGTATTTGTGCAAAGAAAAACACTGCAATGGTTTGGACATGTTGTCCGTTGCCATGCTTAGCCCGCTCTGGTACTGTAGGGCTCTGGTGAGGGTGCATGGGCAACTTCAAACCAACACTGGCGCATGTGGTAGAGGGGGAATTGCTTCATTGATAAACAGGCCAAAATCTGCTGCTTACCCTTTGGGTAAATGGGTTCTCTCGTCAATAGACTACACATTGCACGGGCAACTTGTTCTTCTTTGCCCCGGGATGATGAGATGAATGCTATGAAGTCGGTTGGTTTATGGTTCTTGGAAATTTGCTGCATGCATTGGTAGTCCTGCCCCAACGACCTTAGGGCTACATGATGCTGATGGTGCTAATTATAATTGAAGAACTGTTGACATGCAATTGTTCCTTCTGTTGTGTGATCGTGTGTTGCAGGTGTGGTGCCGGTCTTGACTGTGTGCCGGTTCCAGCCATGGGCAGAGGTGTACACACACATCTACTACCACCGTCCACGCCATCGGCATCCCTGCAATATCCTGATGGTCAGTGGAGTCACGCATTCTTAACCATTTCATGTATTCTTATCTGCATATAAACTGCAACTTCAAACCAACACTGGCGCATGAGTACCCCCGGTGACCAATGTCCTTATTAGACATCTCGCTGAAGTAATGCAATGTGCAGTGTGTGTGTGTGGGGGGGGGGGGGGATCAGGAGTTAGGTGAGCTTGTCTTGTGTTTTCGGAAATGACTGCAGTAATTTGATAAGGGAAAACTTGTATTTCATAGGTTGTTTATCGTTTGGCAAGTTTGGGTGCTTTGAGGTGATTATTGTTCTGTGCAACGGGTCAAGGATGTTACGTAACAACCGAATATTTTGTGTATATCCTGTCCACATAGTCATTGTGTGTATGTCCTGTCCACATACACATTGTGTGCCACCGCTGCAGGAAAGTGCATCCTGTCCAACTGTGCGTGCACGGCGCAGGACACAGACGATGAGGTGTGCGGACGCGACGGAGCACGCTATCGCAATCTCTGCGAAGCTCAGTGTGCAGACACTACGGTAAGCTAGAACAAACTTTTGAGTGGACCTAATGTCTATTATGACTTGTCACTACCTTGATGAACCTAACCATGAAGCACAAAATATACTGTGCCAAGGATGATCATGCAGGCATTTCCTTCCCGAATGTCAAGGATTGAGAAGAAATTCGGAAGGACAATAATTCTTTTGATTTGTGAAGAAGAACTTCTTGATACACCGAAGTTAGGACGGCAGGATTATACATTGTCACGAGCTTTGCCTGTGTGTGTGGTTGTACTGCATTTCACTCAGCTAATAGATACAAGTCTGTTGCTGTCCTTTCTGCCCTGTCATAGCTCACAACTGCACAGGCATGTCTCACGTACGAAGCAATGTATCGACGAGCAAGGGGACTCTAGGCAGCTGAGCTCACCAGACTGATGTTTCTTCATCTGTCCCCGTAAATTTTTATGAATATTTCATGATTTTAGTCAATTTCTCAACCGTTTTAGATTATTTGAATGTTCAACTGCTACTCAGTGTAGTCCAAGCATTAACTGACATCTACATTTGCCTAAGCCGAACGTATGAACATCAAATGGGTTCTGATTTCTCTCTCACTCTCCCGTATTTCGCATTGGACCCTGACTCTTATTTCCTTCTTCCAAAATGCTGTAGTGATTTCTGGGTCATCCAGGCCCACTTGCCTTGCAATTTAAAATGAAGTCAACATGAACAACAGAATACTTGCATAGATCGCAAAATTTACTTGCTTGTACGTGATTTTTTCATACCGGTATCTCCTCTTTGATTTGCTGAGCAACTTTCACGTCAATCTCACTAAACTGATCGCAACTTTCTAGCAGTTCCACAGCCGCAGTGTTTTCAGTGTGTCTGGATGTGTTCTTGGAACAATTTCTTGCATGCGTAATTAAAAAAATAGCATACCACTCCTTGGTTGCAGGACGTCATTATCATTGCTGTGGCTAGGCCGCGACGGGTGATGCCGCTGATATTCTAGAGAACAGAGCTCCAATCCATTCAGAAAGAATGGAAAGCAAACATGTTGGAATGTGTGTCTGTGCTTTTTTAAATAGCCCCGTGCATTCGATACCGTACATACAGTTCTGGCCAGAGAAATCCAACCTCATGAATAGAGTAGGGCCGCGTTCTAGTGCACAGACGCTAGACCAGTATGTGTAGTGCTAGGGCTTCGTAGAGCCCGGCGCTATTATTCATGAGGTTGGATTTCTTTGGTCGGTACCCATCCTCGATCGACAGGAGTCCCACAAATCAAGACTCGATTTTGGATCAAGTTCTATTCTTACTTGGCATCAATGGAACACCAGCCAACACACCGTTGATGCCAGGTAAGGGCGGGTTCGATTTTTCACTCTTTGACTTTTCGAGGAGTTTCGTTTTTCTGAAGAGGTGGCCTTATTGGCCTCTTCAGAAAAACGAAACTCCACGACCTCATCCAATGGGAGAGGTGGATTAGTTCCGAAGAGTTTGGAATAGCTTGGTCGAGATGATCGATCTGATCGGACGTCATTATCGCCATGACAATTAAACTGAAAAACTCTAAAATGATAGAAACCCTTCTATCATGAAGACAATTCGAACGCCCCCTAAGAATAAAACTTGATCCAAAATACGATTATGGATACATCGCCAGGGGCGCACAACACGGATACGCTGATGGTCTTTCAAGATACCTAGGCAGTCGATGGAGGGAGGGAGGGAGGGAGGGAGGGAGGGAGGGAGGGAGGGAGGGAGGTACAAGTACATGCACATATAGTACAAGCGAAATTTCCCACTGTCGTGTGTGAACAGCTATGTCCTGATGTGCCGCTGCAGGAAAGTGCATCCTATCTAATCCAACTGTGCGTGCACGGTGCAGGACAAAGACGATGAGGTGTGCGGACGCGATGGAACACGCTATCGCAATCTCTGCGACGCTCAGTGCGTGGACGCTACGGTAAGCCAGAACATAGTCTTTTGAGTTGACAGGGGATATTCCGGCAGTACCCGGATCAATGCAGTCATGCAACTTGTGTCACGCTGTGGCATGCATGCTCTTCAGTTCTATACGTAGAAAGTAACAGTTAGAAACGTCCTCAGAGTCTAGCGGGCCTAAGATGAACTGATAGGAGGGACTTTTCATCAACCAGCGGACCATAACTGCGTTCTCCGGCCGACCTCCACACGCTGCCACAGCGTGTGATTTGGTTGTTGATGTAAAATCTGTAAAAGACCGAATGCTGCTGCTTACCCTTTGAGAAAGGAAGGTCGAGGAAATAAAATTTTATACTCATACCTTTGACGGCGGAAGGTACTTTCCAGCTGTGTCGTGGCCCGCATTTGATTGGAAACTTGTTTCCAGGCAGGAGGGAAACATGGATGCAGCGAATGGGATTTTCGATCTTTGACCACTTTGCAGGTGGGCTGATCTAACATTACTCACCTCCCACCGCTTTAGGAGCTTCATCTGCGCCTTGATCCTAGACTAGATAAGAGGGTGATGGCGTTCCTACGAATGCGGAGCACTCAGTCTCACTGAGTCTAATCGCGGCAAACTGTGAAAAATTGAGGCAGTGGAAACCGGAAAAAAGTCTGATGAAAAAGTACATTTTTGGTTTTCTTTCCTTTGCGTACAGGATATCATGGGTGAGGAATCGTACACTGTCACAAGTTTGCACATAGTGTGTGTGTGTGCATGTGCGCGTGCATGTGCGCGTGTGTGTGCTGATATCAATCACTGCAAGTCACTCAGCTAATGAAAACCAGTCCGCTGTTACTGTCTTCTGTGCCCTGTCATAGCTCACAACTGGAAAGGCATGTCTCACATATGCAGCAATGTATCGACGAGCAAGAGGACTCTAGTGGAATGAATTCAGGATGAACATTTCATCCAGCATGCCAATGGCAATGGTTTTTGTGAGGTTACTTCTCCTTTCATAAAACTTCAATGTTTCTTGGTTTTCAATGATCCTGAATTTCTCTGTAGAATTATTGATTTTCAATTCATAATCTGGATCTGACTAACACCGGTATTATCCGGAGGCAGTCAAGTTGCAATGTACCGAAAGAATTGCAGTAGACACCGACTTGCCTTTGTCAAAGTGCTTCAATAAGTACATGTATTTCCAAAGTAATGTCGCCTCCATGTGTAGTGAACAGTGCTTGGTTTTATCCTGGATTTCTTTGTGAAATAATATTATTGCTTTTCAATCAGCTTTACTCATAATTAGATCTGACAAACACCTGTATTCTCCTAAGACAGTTTGTCGGTACCGAAAGGACGGTACACGGCAAATGGATTTTGACGTATTTCCAGACGGAAATGTTGCCAGCATGATTGTACTTTCTGTTTCACCTTTTTAATCACCTATCAGTAGCACATCATGCATTAATTTTTTTCTTCTCTAAACTCAGCACAGTTTGTTTTTCGACTTTGAACTGGTTTTCTGTTTGTAACATTACTTACTTGCTACATGATTGTACTGGAACTGAGGTCGGGCTCTCAGCCTCAGGTGCAATGATCCGAGGGGCGAGGGCACATGTGCTCAGGCTTCATGAACTGGGTCTTCATTATCAATATCATTCCACCCGACTTCAGTGCAGTGCCAGTACGATGATGCCATCTGCCAGTACTGCCAATCATGTGAATGCATAATCTGCAGTGCAAGTACTGCCACTTAGCGTGCCACTACCTGTAATAGTACTAGTACTACTAGCGCTATTATTTTTGATTCATGAAAGGCTTCATACCCGCGTACCCGTACCCGAATCTGACAATGTCATGATTTGCACAATGTCAATCAGTAGATTAGATTGTAGGTCTACTTTGTAGATCTACAGTCATGTAGCTTGTCTTACCGGTACCGGTATGAACCATGCATGTCCTACAGCGACTGCAGTGTCAGAGCGGATGGTGTCTAGGCTTTTGCCTTGCGCATCTTGGTCGTTTCGCCGAGAAAGAAATACTCCCTGGTCGTTATGGAATAGCGATAGTTGGCATTGCGCGGAGTGTTCAGCCGGTGGCTTTCTCCCAACGGCTACTGCACACCAACCGTACCAGCTATGATGTGAAAGAGGCAGCATCACCGCTCGAATCTGTTTTGACTATAGAAGGTGAACACGTGCCCGATATTTTTTTACCTGGATTTACTTGAAAAAATTCTGAATAATTTTATATGGCTCAACATCCGAGTTTCAAATTTTATAATGCAAGTATAATTATAGCCTTTATTTGTAGGTATGGTAAGCTGACAGTGACAATGATTTATTCGAGACAAACATCGCCTGCTGACGACTGTCGACATCCAGGCAGTCGCACCGTCAACAGGGGGGGGGGGGGGGGGGGGGTGCACAGTTTACCCATGTTTCGCTGCTACCACTACACTCTACAGTGCTGCTCAATGAAATCTGGTCGCGTCACTCGATCAAGATAGTTTGCGCCTTGCACCATTTCGCAGGCCAGTGTTCACAGGTCTAGGGCTGCCGCAACGCCCAGCGTGTACTTGAGTGACGCGACCGGATTTCATTGAGCAGTTGTGGTATCGCCTTTTCACACAAAATGCAACGTGAGGGTGCAGCGAGCACCCGGAACGATTGTTTGTTTTACACCGCATTTTCGTTGTGTGAACTGAAAAAACACAAAAATCGAAAAAATGACTCGCGTGCCGTGCGCGATAAGAGTACATGTAGGTGAGCAAACAGACATAGTGCTGATCGGGTAGCACTCGGGCAACACCGACGGTTTACCCGCGGTGGATCATACTGTCAACCTTGCGAGTGACGAGACCACCCCCCCCCCCCCCCCCCGATCGTGCATGAGAAAACTGGCGCAAGTTATTCACGAGTCAGTGTTATTCATGAGGTTGAAAACTGCATTATTTACATGTAATAATGCAGTCAACTGGTCACTACAATAGCTGCAGAGTGTAGGTGACTGAAGATTGGGTTGGTATTAGAGCCTCTAGATCCGAAAAGAGGGCTTATGTCGTTTCGCGCAGTATTGAGAAAAATGCATTTGAAAGTTGAGTTGAGTTTTCCATATAAAGCGATGTATAAATCACTTATCGAAACACCCATAACTCTGTGAAAAATAAACGTTTTGTGCCTAGGTTTTCTACAGAGTGATCTGCTGGGGTACAGCAGTGTCATCGTATAGATAGAGAGCCCTGTTCCTTTCTTTCCATTGTTTTTTTTTGTTTTCTTTTGTACTTTTACCATGGCTGGTTATCGCCCTCATCTCTGGGGTTGCTCCCCACATTAGCAATGCGTGCACATGCTACGAGATTGAGTTTAATAATAATAATAATAATAATAATAATATGAAACTCGGATGTTGAGCCATAAATAAATGTAGAAGACTGTATAAAGTATCATGTTACAGTATCATGTTACAGTGATGGAGAGTTACTCTTAACTCGTATCCATATGTCCTTTTCTCTTCTACAATAATAATAATAATAATAATAGATAACTCAAAATGCTCAAAAATGAACTAAGCCCCTGTTTTAGATTTAGAGGCTCATTTGCGAGTTGCTATAGACGACGTCGTTGTTCACGGTGTCGACTAGTGTGTACAGTGAAACCTGTCTAAGACGACCGCTCAAGGGACCTTCAAAACGTGGTCTTTGTTACCAGGTGGTCTCCTTATCCAGGGTCGCTTGACTGGAAATAGCATCCCTTGATTCTGGTTTCAGTGGTCTTGTAGGACAGGTGGTCGGTCGCCTTATTCGAGTGGTCGCCTTGACAGGTTTCGCTGTATGTTGCATCACATGTCACAATGCGAACCTTTTGAAACAGTATCCTCCTATTCCTCTTGCCATTGTCCTGCAGAGGTAGGTGATAATGAATTCTGTGCCAGCACACCATGGACACCGTATGGCCAGTCCGTCAAGCACATGTTTGGTGGCCAGGCAGTGGGACAGGCTTTAATGGCCGCGGGGCGCACACTGCGTGGAGAACATGCCGGAAAGCTGGTCAATTCACTGCACGCGTACTTCCTGCGGGCTGCAAACCTGACATCGCCAATTACCTATAAAGTATGTGAAGCCAGTAGGTGCTCGGCACTTGAGTTTTACAGTAAAGCATGGTGATGGTCACTATAGCAATACCAAGTAACAGTTATGTTGATCTGCATGGCAGTACTCCATGTGGCTGGGTTCATTTCCTACTTGCCCGCATCTATTCCTGCAACCCGATACCCTGATCCGGTCTCCCATCAACTATGAGTTGTTCAAGCAGCACATGTATATTGTTTCACCTGTCCTCATACTCAGTCAATAGTTGTACTACTGTACAGGCAGAAAATTTCGTCGCTCAATAATTTCGTCCAACTCCAAAGAAAGGGAGTTTATCTGGTTGAAAATTTCGTCCATGAATCGTAGGAGTGTATTGAAAAGCTGGACAAATGGACATTGGTCTGGCATTTAATTTAGTCCGAAAGCTCCTTGGACGAAAAAGATGAAATTAAATGCCAGCCGAATAGTTCTGCTTATGCGGTACTTGAATTACTTTCAAGTAGTTTTCATTTGCCATGCTATCTCCATAGCTAGCTTGTGACTCAAGACAACGCTTGGGGTCTTTTAACAATATTTCAATCGCATTTGTGCCGCAGGTGGACTGCATACGGGATGGGAAAAGTTACAGCGTGCGACAAGTTTCCGCTATTCAAGATGGGTGTCCTTTCTTTACCAGTACAATGTCATTTCACCACTATGAGGAAAGCAGTCCGTTGTATCATCAGGTGGATCTCCCTCAAGATATTCCGATGCCAGAAGATCTGTTAGAGCCTAGTGAAGTAGTTGAGCGGTGAGTGATGTCATGAAAAAATTGAATAGACATGAAATGACTCTGTGCATGTTGCACGGCGGACAATTTCAGCTGATTCAGTGGCATAACTATTTGTGCACTTCAAGTTTGTCCCTGATGTGCATCAGAATAGGCCCGTACATAAACCAGTACCATTTGCAAACCAAAAAATAGTAACTACATGTAAAATTAATATGTAGTAGCATGTGAACTTTTCCTCTCCATACTAAGTATCATGTGCTTTCTGTGCTCATATGTGGCAGATACTTGAATGATGCAAGTCAAGCGAGGTTGTGCAGCCACATCTCTGTGTATCCATCACGGGTGATCGACTTCCGAGATGGTGACTATCCCCGCGACGACACCGCAAAGCCAGACAAGTATGTCACTGACAGTCATCAACGCATGTGTTCTGTTTTCTAACACCTGACTGTTCAACCACCTATCTCTTTCTATGTTGTCGGTGGAGTAGGTTAGTCTCGTACACAAGCAATCCATGCATGGCATGATTGTTGTTACAGTTATGCTTTACCAGTCTGCTCTCAGTAGTGTACATGTATTTCGTTCATGAGCTTGGCTCGATATCGAGTTTCATCTTGTGTTCTTTGCAGAAATCGTAAAGTTCTTTGGATGAAGCTAAGACAGCAGCTGAGCAAGGCAAATCCCCTGCTGCACCAATGTGCCATGGCCTATCTGTCGGATTTCTTGATCAGCCGCACTGCATTTCGAATAGAGGCACACAGCACCCATCTGTCTCCGCTGCGCTTTGCCTCGCTTGATCATGGCCTATGGATACACAGCCCTGATGCTCTGGCTAATGACTGGTTGCTGTATGTACTGGAAAGTCCTGTTGCCAAAGCTGGACGAGGTCTTAACACGGGCAGGTCAGTTAATCTGCTAGACCAGTTTAGTACAGTATCACGTGGGCAAGAATGAGTTGGCAGAACCAATGAACTGCGGGAGGTTTTTTAGTTTTTAGTATATTAAGTTACAAATAGTCATGAGAGATGCTGAGCTACTGAACGTAGTTTCCGCTGCACACCCACAATCAGACACTACACTATTCACTAAGATGCATATACAGTGCACCTGAATGCACTAGTATCTTCTGAGCGCCGGCGAACTAATGTCTTCAGAGAAAATTCTCAGCATGGACGCCATGTTTCTGCCAACAATAACCCTGTCGTGTGTGTTTGTTTGTAAATTTTGTCGTCTGTTGATTTCTTGCAGACTGTACAGCCGAGACGGAAAGCTACTGGCAAGTACAGCTCAAGAAGGAGCATATCGCATGCAGCGGCTGTAGGCACTGCGACATGCATTTCTATTCAATATGCCCAACAATTCAACACACAAAGTTATTTATCAAAAAAATGTAAAAGTTCCATTTTGTGGGTTTGCTTTCGATCGCAATGCGGATGCAGTGAAAATCAAAGGGACAAAGGTCCTCTTTGAACAGGCTTCCTCCTTCTTCTTCTTCTTCTGGTGAGATATCTTTCTCACTGTAAGCAAGGTGCGTAGACAAGAATGTGCAACTCGGCTTGGTTTGGCCCACTGTGGGATTTCTGTTTACGCCAGCTTTTCTGGGGATCATGCATTATACTGTAAGAGGCATGTACTACGAGTCTGTGGCCGCGTGAACATGGCCAGGTTTCACTTAACTTCCACAGCAAATACGGTAACAACTAACAAGGGGAGTTATAAATTGTAACAAAAGCAACAAATGCACAAACACGTGATAAAAGTCGGCACCCAACGCATGCTTTGTACATTTGTACTTCTTTTTTTCTTTCTTTTTGAAGTACATGCGTTCTGGAACAGGTAACGGCGACGAGAATTTCCGCTATGAACCAGACCAGAGTTGCACACTCTTGTCCTGGGATTCGTTTCCATGAAGATTCCCGTAGGGGTATGGGACGACGCAATGCCATCACATGACGACGATTTTTCTCCCCTATGGCCAGATCGACACATCGAGTTTAAAATGGAAGCCCTCACTTGCAGAAAACTCGTTTTCAAACTCATTCTGAGAATGTACTCGTACTCGTAAATGCATGTTTGTACACGCATTCAGATCGGGTTGAACTGAGCATGGGTAAGCAGTCAACTGTGTACACGTACAGCCATATTCACAGAATGTACTGAACCTAAATCGTGTAGCTGCTCGCGCTATTGAAATGCTGTACAAGTACTTCCATCACCTCTGACCTCTTCCCTCAAGCCCCTCCGTATATATTCCAGTGAATGCTAGTCTTGGTCATACGCTGTCTGATGAGTGTTTCACACGAAACTCCGAGTAACGGCGGAAACAGATTTGTTTGCTTCATTGCTCTGTGATCATTGTATCTGCCATATATGGCAACAATTGCCCCAAAGGGAAGCCTGAAATGCATATGGCCCATTGAATCACACAACAGACGTGGCCAGGCCAGGATACGTGGAACTTCTAGGGAATGTAATGTATCCAACACAGTCATGCTATCAATTCTATGATCTGCACGGCTTGACAATACTGCATTTACCAGCCTGACCCTGACCGAGCCTGCTCAAAGAAATCTGAATGTCACAAGCATATGCTTCAAGCCATGGATAGTGACTACCGGTATACAAAATCACGAGCAGGACTATACAAGTACTACTTCCGAGTAAATTGACGGTACCATCGAGAGTGAGCTCCGTGAAGTACTAGCAGGCCCAGGCCATTAACCAAGATATGTGTACCGGCGTGCACAGCATGGGGCACGGAAAAAGAGAGAAATGCATCTACAATTCCAACAAGCACTCACTGAGAAAGCGTATGGAACACGATGGGAAAGAGTCATGTGCAAAATGACCACATCATGGCTCCAGATGAATATTCCTAGCGGACTGACATTGCCCGCAGTAAGATTAGATATAAGCCGCTTAATGCCCCTATGTGATGTCCTTCAATGTTTGGACAGAGAGTTAAAGAGAGGACTGAGTGCTGAAAGGTAGAAATAATACAGATCACAGTCGACCAGCAACCACAGAAAAGCAGGTAATTCACTAAAGCACGCATATGCACACATACACACACACACACACACACACACACACACACACACACACACACACACGCACGCATCTTGAGTATGTCATCTCTTGCCCTCGATCATGATAATGTGATAGCCGAACTTGGTCTTGACAGGTGGGTCGGTGTACGAAGGGTTGGATGTTGTGCTGGGTGATAGCTGAAATGCAGCTTCCTGGAATGGGCCAACCTGTGTGGGAGTGAGAGAGAGAGAGAGAGAGAGAGAGATAAAGAGAGAGAGAGAGAGAGATCAAGAGAGAGAGAGAGAGAGAGAGAGAGAGAGAGAGAGAGAGAGAGAGAGAGAGAGAGAGAGAGAGAGAGAGAGAGAGAGAGAGAGAGAGAGAGGCAGACAGAGACACAGAGTGAGAAGACAGTGGGCAAGTCTAAGGGCGCGTGAATTGTCACTCTTTGACTTTTCGAAGAGCTTCGTTTTTCTGAAGAGGTGGCCTTATTGGCCTCTTCACAAAAACGAAGCTCCTCGAAACTCCACAACCTCACCCGATGGGAGAGGGAGATTAGTTTCGAAGAGTTTGGAATAGCTACGTCACGTAGTGCGTGGAGATGGTCGATCTGATCGGACGTCATCATCGCCATGACAATTCCACTGAAAAACTCTAAAATGATAGAAACCGTTCTAATGGGACACTTCAACTAATATCTTTATAAAATTTGTTTGAACAGTTGATGAAGACAATTCGAACACGCCCTAAAAGAGACATAGTCATAAAACACTATGACCGTGTTTGATTTTGATGTACAATGCAGTTTCACAGAGAAAAAAACTCTCAGCACAAAAGCGGCGTGAGACTTTCATTGTTCTGATTTTGCTGCAGCTGCTCTGACTTGTCAGTTGCACTGTTCTCCTATTGTCAATTTCTGCAAAGTAAAAAGGAGAAAGGGTTACGTTACATGTAGGTATGAACTAAAGTAGTGGGGAATGAAATCCAACCCGATGAAGAGAGCACAGAGGCACGCATCACTGCACAGTCTACTGTTCACAGTGATCGGGTTGCACAGTCCCGGGGTTGGTATTTTCCCGGGGCTGGATTTCACTAGCCAGCACTGTACATTGTGATACAGCAGCACACCATTTCATTACTTACCATGGAACCACGTGTCATCCAACCGAGATCACCACCCGATCTCGCCTTGTCTTCGCTGAACTGCGCCGCGACCTCGTTGAACTTCATGCCCTCGCGCAGCTTCGCCATTGCTTCCATGCACTTGGAGTGTTTCTCACACAGGATGTGTCGGACCTAGGCACGCCAGCAGGAGCACGCAAAAGCAAAAAAGACCAACACTGACCGCTTGTTCAACAACAACAACACGGAACTTGATGGGTAGGTGGCAAAGCACGGTCTCCGCCACTGCTCCCTGCTCTTATGCAGAGGGACCGTTCACCCCCAGAACGCATCACCTTATCCCATATCCCACAGGGGCATTAAGTAGTGAGTACATGTATCCCACAGGGGCATTAAGTAGTGAGTACATGTATCCCACAGGGGCATTTAGTAGTGAGTGCATGTATCCCACAGGGGCATTAAGTAGTGAGTACATGTATCCCACAGGGGCATTTAGTAGTGAGTACATGTACATGCATCACCACTTGGTCGGAAAACCGGTTTTCAGTCGATCAACCCGGTTAGAAACGTGTAGTATTGTATATTGTACTAAGGGATCATCAGTAAATACCGATATTTATTTAGAAACGAAAACTAGTCGTTTCTCTTCAACCCCCTCCCCCCCCCCCCCCCCCCCTCCCTCAGAAACGAACACATACACACGATGCATAGTATCGATATTTTTTCTTTTCTTTTCTGGACATGCCAACACATACAAACTGTGCATCGATATTTTTCGAGAAACGAACAGGCGCTCAACCCCCTCCCCCCTAAACGACTAGTTTTCGTTTCTAAACAAATATCTATATTTACGGATGGCCCCTATAAATGACAAAATCTTACTGTGCAGTTTGAAAGTTGCCACAGGTATACCAAGCACAAGTACGCTGGTGGTCGCAACACATTCGGTTGGCCACCCAGCTACCCGTACTGCTCAATGAAATCCGATCAAGCGCGTGTGAATGGCACGCCGGGCGCTGTGCAGCCCTAGACCTGGAATGGTGAACTCTCTCTCTCTCTCTCTCTCGCTCGCTCTCTCTGTGTGTTTTTGGTGGACTAAAATATCTCTGGCGTTGATTGCTTTCTTGCTTCGACTTCTGCCGCGCCTTTGTTCTCGTACTCCCCTTATGTACAAGTGTTGTGTAAACCCTCCTTTAATATAGTCTGTCTTATTTTGCCCTGAGATGTTTTGATGCATAGTGATTATGACGCTCATCATTCGCTCCCTTGTCACTGGACAGTTCTGTCCGTTTGGTTTTAGCAAATTCAAATAAAGAAACAACAACTGGTGCAGGGTGCAAACTTGACTCACGTGATCTTATATCATTGAGCAGCACTGTACTAGTAGTGCTACTCGCTTGGGTTTTTCCCCTTTTCAGGTTACTACAGTCAATCATTGGCGGCGATAGCAAGAGAAATCGGCGCTCATGAGCATCACAGCCACGGCTGGGACTTACACGGCCTTGACACAATGGGCCCTGGACTGTGCCCTGTGCCATTCATAAGGTCAGACTTCACATGCTGCAGTCGTTACACGACACTAACCAGTTCGATTATAAAATATGCAACCAATCAATTTTAGTACGTATCAAACACACTTTTTTTAATAGTCCTGAAATAATATTTTATTTTTACGGCAATTTTTGTTTGACCAGGAATACAGTAGTATAGTATACTCTTGATACTACCGGTAGTAGTATCGAAAATATAGAATATTGGTGATTACAAAGATCTGAATGCACCCGTAAATCCCTTAGCGAGAATGTCAAGAAAGGAATCGACTCGATCGTATTCAGTCTCACCTTCACAGCATTTCCAGCAGCGGATTTTTTTCCATCATCGGCATCAGCGGATGCGCCTCCCTTGCCTTTGCCACCTTTTCCACCGCCACCCTTAGCACCACCACCACCTTTAGCACCTCCTCCACTGGCTCCACCACTGCCTTTCCCCTTCGGCATCTTGATGAACACAGCAACCAACTACAACAGCTACATGTAGCTTGATATTGTTTTGAAAGTCACGAGATGTCTCATGAGCTCAGTACAGTCGAGTCATGCATGTACATTCTACCTTTTCCAGGTTTTTGAAAAGTTTATTTTTCGTGCTGCATGCGGATCGCGGAGTCGATCGAATCGCGTCGCATGAAAAATGAACCACGAATCCACGATATCGGTAGCGCTAGTACGCTTGCATGCTGGGCGCACATGCATGTGCGCTAGTGTCAGCCCAAATTTGCCGGCAATTCTTTTGGCATAATATCGAAACATTTTAGAAAAAGAATTGCCCGGCATATTTGGAGCATAATTTCGAATTTTTTGGAGATTTTCGCCGTGATTTCGCAGATACTCGAAGTTTCACGTCCAGCGCCAGAGGTACATGCGAGTATTGTACTACTACTAGGTCCATGCTCAAAACTAAATTCTTTTGCACGGCAGCTTGGTATTAAATGAGCATTGTGAGGTCAATCTTCACACTTTAAAATGTGAACCCAGCAAAACCGAGCAAATTTCGATGTTTTTCTCAAATTTTCTCCAAAATTTGGTCCAAATTTGGCGTTTTTGAAGCTGTCATTGAGCATAATCAGAGCAAAATATCGTCTTCGCCCGGAAATGCCAAGCATAATATCGAAAGAAGCGCAGCAAAAATATGCGGCATAATATCGAAAAGTCTCGAGCAAATTTGGGCTGACACTAATGTGCGCGCGCCGCGCGCGCGGCAGGCCGGATCGGAGCCTTCGCCTCGGAGGGAGGATCGCACGACCTGCGACGGCCGTGCTGGTGTAGCATGCTAGCGCTACAATGCTACATTGTATGTAGGTAGCTCGTAGGTCTACCAGAGTCCAGACCGCATACAGCTCCGTGATCGAGTACCGCGCCAGTCGGTCCGGAGTCTGGAGGGGGCATTTATTTTTTCAATACTACACTGTATAAAAAGGTGAATCTGTGGTATTCTCTAGTTTCTGTTTGTTTTGCAGTTGTTCTTGTGCAACCCCCCCCCCCCCCCCTAGGGTCCAGCGGATAATGCTCCGAAAATGTTCGTATAATGCTAATCATAATGCTCCAAAAACTACCTTGTAATGCTGATTATAATGCTTCAACAAGGGCTATCATGCTCTTGGTTTGGAACAAAAATGGAAGAAAGGCTGCACATTGTCAAACTTCCAGGAAAGACCGCATTTAGTCGATCTGCCTCTGAAGCTGCTACAATATCTCTCACGAGCTCCACCACTTCTTTGCACTATAAGACATGATCGCGTCTCCATTGTCTGCTCTCAATTGCAACTTTGATGCAGGGCTGTGGCTGAATAGTGGGTGTATCGAATCTTTTCCCTTGCTTATCCATGTAGTGAGAGGTGAAACCATTATTGCTGGTGATCATTTGGATGCTGGAATCATATCATGGGAAGTGGTATTCCTGCATGCAGACAAGCTGACACTGTTTCCACTCTGTGAAAATGCCAGTCTTCATCTGAAACAGCTCACGTGAGGCCAGTCGAGAGACGATCTCAGATCGAGATCCCTCCCATTTGCGGAAATCCTGAAACGACGTGGTCAAAAGTTATTTTGCCGCTCTACATCCTCTGCTTGCGCTGTCTTCTTCTCCTGAGGTTGCGTGGAGACAAATGGTTGGCCACAATCCTCTTCTTTTCTGATAGCACTTGACTGTAGGCCTTGCATTACAATCATCCACGACGAACTGTACGTGCTTCACCAGGAAAGTAAGACACGCGCTCCTGAGCACTCAAAATTAATCGACTTGGTACTGCATCCATGAGAAATTCTAGTTCTTTTCGACTAGGCCTGCTGAGCTGGACTCGGCAAAGGCAGTTACTTGGAACAAGCTCTTTCTGTTTATAGCCGCTCCTTCATCCAGGTCCAAATTTATCAATAGATCAGTGTTTTCTTCAGTATCGTTAGAGATGCTATGGTCAGAGCCTATGGCATAACAGGAAAACTCCTCTTCGTCTCTTTGATATTCACTTCGCGGACGTCTAGTCTCCTCCATGGCTCTCCATGATTTCTAAAAAAGAACTCCTCGTAAATCAGCGTTACGGATTTTGTGTAACAGCCTCAGTTGCAACGTTGGGCATGCTACATCACCTGTACATTTACCAGACTACATTGCTACATAAATACTTTATGTAGCAATGGCATTACATGTATCATAGTCAGGTAAATGGCGTTGCACCTCATGGCTTTAGTCGATTGTTGCCAAAAACCTTATATTTCCCGACATATATATCCACTATAAAACTCGTTATGCCGCTCAAACCTCACATAATGCTCGTCTTTTAAATGCTTTGATGCTCCATAATGCTCTGATGCTCGGATAGTCTCATAATGCCAATAATATAATGCCGGCATTATCCGCTGGACCCTACCCCCCCCCCCCCCCACACACACACACCCATTTTTCGATGCCTAGTTGCAACGCTGACGCCGAGACCTCTGGTCGGTTGAGTTGCTCCCAGCACATCAGCACGTCGTCCCTACATCCCCTATGTTTTGTCCTTTTCCTCGTTTCTTTTTGTTCTCCACCTGTTTTCCAGTAGGGCTGTACTGTGTCAATAGTAAAAAAAGAAAGAAAAAAATATTCTTGCCCACAAACAGACTCTAATACCAGCTTGTAATGCGGGAGGGTGATTGTCATGGCCTGCGACTTCGAAGGACATTCTCATGAAGGCACCTGGCTCCCCAGCCTGAAACACCGCCGACTGGACCGTGGTTGCTGCGCTTTCGTTCACCTTCAAGCTGTCCTACCTTCCAACAACAAGCCTCCTGAAGCCAGGCTGCCCATCATCCCACCTCCAGCCACCCCCCGCCCAGTGGGTGGTCTATCCACTAGGTTAGCCACGGAGACTGCTCACTGCCACCCGCTCCAGCTCAAGTCAACGCTGCCCGTGCACACTTGTAGCAGCCTCCAGGGTTCCTACCCAGACTGCATTTTCCCCTTGTGGAACAGCCTACCAGCGACCATTCTACCAGCACGGCCGCCACCCAGACAGCTCCAGTCCTTCAAGCTAGAAAAGTGTAACAAGTATCTGCTGCACCTGAACTGGCAAGCAGCCACCGGCGACCGATAACAGTTTAGACCAGCGCCTCACTAGCATCCTCCCTCCCTCCTTACCACAATGTGATGTTATCTTTCACTCTGCTTCTCTCACGACCATCTACCCATTGTCCTCGTTCCTCACTATTATTCATTTCCCCTCCTCCTCCCCCTCCTCATGGTTATACTGCAGTATGGCGAGCTTTGTCTACGTAGACGCCGAGACCTTTAAGGTTGGCAGAGCAGCCTGGCCCCGCCACCTCTTCCCGCACATATTCGGGAACATAGTGGACTTTCGTATATTACGAAGTAGTGGTTGCGACTTCGGCGATAATTTGTAAGAAAGGGTTTGCTCCCCACACCGGAGCTCGCGCTATTCCGCCGACTTTACTTGACACTTGACTGACTCACGACTGCCATCCAGAGCACACGAGAAGTCCATCGAACCCTCGACTCGGCAAACCTGCAAGAAAGCACCACTCCCCGCTCAATACACAGTGTTTCGGGGAATTCACCCCTCATCAGTTGAGCTTGAGTAGGCTGAGGAAGATTGTGCCTGAAGAGCACCACTTATATAGTGCTCTCCAGGCACAAACATCACCAGGGATACAAACTGGAATAGTACTGTGTATTGAGCAGGGAGTGGTGCTTTCTTGCAGGTTTGCCGAGTCGAAGGTTCGATGGACTTCTCGTGTGCTCTGGATGGCAGTCGTGAGTCAGTCAAGTGTCAAGTAAAGTCGGCGGAATAGCGCGAGCTCCGGTGTGGGGAGCAAACCCTTTCTTACAAATTATCGCCGAAGTCGCAACCACTACTTCGTACTGTTGTGCCCAGCGCGGGCTTGCGACTAGTTGGTTTGGAGGTGACAGCGTTGCGAATGACCGAGGGTCCTCGACGTCTGTCTCACCGTCCAGGAGCGACACTGACTCACGCTGCTATCTGGTGTTCACGAGGTGTTTGTCGCGCTGGAAACGGAGCGTCTCTGTAAGTTTGTATCCCTGGTGATGTTTGTGCCTGGAGAGCACTATATAAGTGGTGCTCTTCAGGCACAATCTTCCTCAGCCTACTCAAGCTCAACTGATGAGGGGTGAATTCCCCGAAACACTTTGTATTGAGCAGGGAGTGGTGCTTTCTTGCAGGTTTGCCGAGTCGAAGGTTCGATGGACTTCTCGTGTGCTCTGGATGGCAGTCGTGAGTCAGTCAAGTGTCAAGTAAAGTCGGCGGAATAGCGCGAGCTCCGGTGTGGGGAGCAAACCCTTTTCGTATATTGTTTAAAAGAAATTATGAAAAAGAAGTGAATGTGCAGCTAGCTGTTGCTGGCTCTGCTCCACCAAGGGACAAGGCAGTAGAGCGTGGCGTCATCCGTGTAGGCTTCGAGAGATAACCCAGGACTGGGCCAAGAGAGAGGCAATGCATTGGTCAGCATCATTCACAAACATGAGAAAGAGAGTGGGACCCAGCAGAGGGCCAGCACGCTACCACAGATCGGCAGGCCAGAGGTTCCGACGTAGATCTACGACCATCAATAACACACTGGATAGACCTGCGGATAATGTAAGGTATGATGAAAGCCAGGTCAGGAGTAGAGCAGACAAGCCAAACCGCTTCGACTTGTACAGCAGCACACAGGCATGGCGCACTCTGTCGAATGCTCCTGTGATATCTACTGCAAGGAAACACGCAGCACCATGTCTACCGGCAGCTTTGATCCACGGGCCAGGCAATGGAGAGCAATAATAGAGCATCAGCAGTTCCAAGTACATGTACATATGTAGCTTTCAAAAAGCAGAATTGGGGGGCTGTGGGCTGTGGGGAAGCGGGATCGCTCAAGATGTTGCATGTGTGCACGATCTGGTCGCTGGCGATGGTTGCCATCACCTTCAAGATGATGGTGGTAAGCAGGGACACAGGTCGATAGTTCTTCAGTACAGAGCGGAAGGACCGTTTGTGCACTGGCACAGCGTAGGCCACTTTCCACATACGATACATGGCTGAACTCCTTTCCAGGAGCAGAAGGAGAAGAGGCGCGCTAGCGGTACAGATAGCTACTTGGCACACTCTCGCAGGACACGTGCAGATATTCCTGGTAGCCTTCGAGGTGTCTATAACAGTATACGTGTAGTCGAGAGAGGAGGCGACGTACTTGTCAGCACGGAAGTGGACGTTATCACGGTTAATGGTTACGTAAAAGGGTAGAACAGGAGAAAGAGATGAGGGGAGGGGGGGGGGGGGGAGCACGCTCCAGTCTGTACTTGGCTGAGCAGTATCGGGTGAAGAAGCAGTTGGCCTTGGATTCTGCCTGAGTACGCCCTTGGCGGATTATGATCGCAAAATTGGCAGATTCTGCTCGAAAAGCAGTGAAATAATAGGCACAGCAATACAAACAGTATGGCAGACGAGGTGCATGACATTGTACCTCATCGAACTGTGCTCCATTTCTTTATCCACATACCAAGCAAGCATGAAACAATACCATGCGCACAGTCCCCACTGGTACCAGACTTGAAGCGTACAGCGCCTATCCCGGCCCCGCCTAGCTTCCAACACTACATTGTAGTGGCAACCAGGGAGTCGGTTTTCAGGACTCCCTGGTGCCAACATACAGGCATCAAGCAAACAAGGTGTTACCAATAATATTATAATAGTTTTGGCAGGCCGTCAGTCACCGGCACCACTTTCAGAAGTTTCAGTCACACTAACCGACATGGGGCTGGGGGGGGGGGGGGGTTGAAGATAGGGTCCGGCGGATTCTGCCGGCAGAAAAATTGGCAGAATTCGGTACTTTTTCTGGTAAGTTTCGTGCATGTTTGGTATGTGGATAAAGAATGGAGCAGAATTCGAGGAATTGCCCGCCATAAGGTTTGTATGGTTTTGCCAATTTCACTGCTTTTCGAGCAGAATCTGCCACCTTTTCGAGCATAATCGGCAGGTCCCTAGTACTGTTGAAGAACGTGGTGAAAGTACCGGTATCATACTTCATAGCTCGGAGCATTTCCGTCGAGTGCACAACATCAAAAGCAAAGGACTTTATTATTGGCGATGATGCCATCGTGAGAATAAAGTCATTAAAGAACTCAAAAGGACCACTTCAGAAGTAGCCTCTTGATCAACTATTACCATGATTACTTGACAAGTCGCAGCCTTTTCGAACCAAAGTCAGTTGGCATGGGTAGCTAAGTCCGGGACAGCTGTGTAGCAAAACTACCGTAGGGTAGGAGAGCTGCATTATACTTTATAGTGCCCAGCACCTGGAGCCAGCGGAGGCGAAGCAGTCGTGAGAGCTCCGGGAATGGAAGCATGAAATCAAGTCACGTATGCCGTGCAACTGTTACTCCCGTTGTCGCGGTGGAAAGCTCGCTATCGATCGGGTGCATGCAGTTGTAGTGCCAGGCCATAGTCAAACAGCTAGGTTTCTTTGTTGCTACTTCCCCGCACAGGCCTGGCAGTGCGCACCTTTCAGCGCTGGCCTTGTTGCTCGCGCCCTGCTGCACTGACTGGATTCATACAGTAAACTAAGTTAGGGGCCGTCCGTAATTATCGAACGTTTTTCACCAAACGAATTATTTTAGTTTAGACCCAACCCCTCCCTCCCTCCCCCTCAGAACGTAAAAAAGTTTGACATATGCATGCATAATACAACAAAAGTTGCAAGTGTGTAACTGCTCCTATGGGCATGCACATGTATCAATGTTTTCTGAAACGAAATTGGTCAACCCCCTCCCACCCCATAACGAAATTATTTCGTTTTGTGAAAAAAGTTCGATAATTATGGACGACCCCTTAGTTACTTGAAGGTAGATCTACATTGGTGAAGTACGGACTTGTGCAATTAGCTCAGCGGCAAACAATGTCTTCTCCTACCGGCAGCTGCACCGGAACGCTTGACGGCCATTACGACTACGTGGTGGTGGGTTGCGGCGGTATTGGCAGCGGAACGCTCTACTGGTTAGCACGGACCTTGGGACAGACGAAACGTAAGTACCTTAGTCCTACGTCCTTGTAGATCCGATTGTCTGAATCTCTCGGTGGTCACCTGTGCATAATTGCTCTCGGGCTTTCAACCGACAACCACCATGACCACCTGTCGCGGGATTCACAGGCAGCGGAAGCGTGAGCATGGGGTTTTCCGGTGCTGTCATTTTTCATGCGTTCGCGCGGAATATTTCTTCGAGTTCACAGCGAGTTTTTCCAGGTACTGTAGTGCTCGAGCGCTCATTCCGTAAGACGGCAAACTCCCCGGGTGATCGCCAGGACTGCTAATCTTTTGAAACTGATTGTAGTTAAAGGGGAAGTTAAGGCAAAAATTAAAATTTCACCAGTTGTAGTCTTCGAGGTGCTGAGTCGAATGGTCTTGGTCCGAGAAAGCTGAGACGCTCCCTTCCTACTTGAATCCCAATCGAACTCGCACACTTCCACCGAAACTGGGTGACTGCGCCCTACTAGATGGGGATTTGTATGCAAAATGTCACTAAAAGCGCCATTTCGTTCTTATAAAAGCACGGGTGACCACGATTGGCCCATATGTTGTAGTCTTTTGGACGCTGAGTCGACTGGTTTTGGTCCGAAAAGGCTGCGATGCAACGTTCCTCCTTTATTCCCAATCGAACATGGTTGAAGAAGCGGTCACGTGCTCCTGGGTGCCCAAATCACCTGGTCACCACGCCAGCAGGCGACAACTTTCACACCAAGGTTCAACTCGAGTTCAACTCGAGTGACAGGACTGCACCCAAAAAAGGTCAAACAGGCTAGTAAGTTGTACCCTGCAGGCACGGTGACCAGGTGACTGGTGTACGCAGGAGCACGTGACCGCTTGTTCAACCATGTTCGATTGGGAATAAAGGAGGAACGCTGCATCGCAGCCTTTTCGGACCAAAACCAATCAACTCAGCGTCCAAAAGTCAAAAGACTACAACATATGGGCCAATCGCGGTCATCCATACTTTTATAAGAACGAAATGGCGCTTTTAGTGACATTTTGCATACAAATCCCCATCTTGTAGGGCGCAGTCACCCAGTTTCGGTGGAAGTGCGCGAGTTCGATTGGGATTCAAGTAGGAAGGGAGCGTCTCAGCTTCCTCGGACCACGACCATTCGACTCAGCACCCCGAAGACTACAACTGGTGAAATTTTGATTCTTCACCAGTTGTAGTCTTCGGGGTGCTGAGTCGAATGGTCTTGGTCCGAGGAAGCTGAGACGCTCCCTTCCTCCTTTATTTCCAATCGAACTCACGCACTTCCACCGAAACTGGGTGACTGCGCCCTACTACTGTCGTGGACATGGAAATCCGGTCGCACGTCTAGCGGCCCCAGGGCGCTGGCCATGCAGCCGTGAGTACGCATACCGGCCCGGTCCATTCACACATTCATTTATGCGCTGCAGCGCGCTGGTCGCATCAGATCAACGTGCACTGCCTGCAACGTTCTGTACGCGCTGAGGGCGCCGGCCCCGGTCAATCGACTGGATTTCCAAGTCCACGACAGTAGATGGGGATTTGTATGCAAAATGTCACTAAAAGCGCCATTTCATTCTTATAAAAGCATGGATGACCGCGATTGGTCCGCATGTTGTAGACTTTTCGACGCTGAGTCAACTGGTTTTAGTCCGAAAAGGCTGCAATGCAGCGTTCGGCCCTTAATCCCAATCGAACCCGGCTGAGTAAGCGGTCACGTGCTCATGCGTACACCAGTCGCCTGGTCACTGTGCCCGCAGGCAGTGCGACTTTTTACAGCGTTCCTGTCACTCGAGTTGAACCTTTGACCCTTTGACTTGGACCTTGGTGTGAAAGTTGTAACCTGCAGGCACGGTGAGTAGGCGACTGGTGTACGCACGAGCACATGACTGCTTACTCAGCCTGGGTTCGCCGGATTGGGAACAAGTGCTGGACGCTGCATCGCAGCCTTTTCGAACCAAAACCAGTCGACTCAGCGTCCAAAAGACTACAACATATGGGCTAATTGCGGTCATCCGTGCTTTTATAAGAACGAAATGGCGCTTTTAGTGACATTTTCCATACAAATTCCCATCTAGTAGGGCGCAATCACCCAGTTTCGGTGGAAATGCGAGGAGGAAGGGAGCGTCTCAGCTTCCTCGGACCAAGACAATTTGACTCGGCTCCCCGAAGACTACAACAGGTGAAAATTTGATCCGCACGCTGCAATAAGCCTAGTACAAGAGTGTGTGGCAAAGCGACTGAATCCACTTTTCTTTCTGGTTCATGTACTGCAGGAATTCTGGGTCTGGAGCAGTTCGAGCTGGGACACTGCAATGGCGGCTCCCAGGATTACTCGCGAATAGTGTACGGGATGGTCAATGTACAGCTTTTATGAATTGATGTGTGTTGAGTGCAGGATGGTGCTAATTTTTTGTTCTTTTAAGATTCTGCGGTTTAAAAAAGGGTCATGCAAGATCATTGTTTGTCCCTACCTGCTGGTGGTCCAAGCACATCGCATTTTTCCGTCACTCTTTGCTGAGAGGAGCTTGTATTATTGCGTTTTCTTCAGGCGTCTAACGTACCATGTGGAGACTTACACAAAGCTGGCAATGGAGGCTATGGATGCGTAAGTCAATCTTTTCAACCACTGGTTAAAAAAACTTTTAACGAAGAACTCCGAAATGGGAAAGGAAGCCTGTGCTTCCTATCATGTCGTTTCTGCAGCTCGACAGGTGCAGCACAGCCACAAAGTTCTTGGCATAGATAGTGGAGAAGTGCAGTTCTCAGCATAGGCCATGTCTGCACAGTCCTCATGTCCCGTTTTCCTGATATTCCTGGTTGTCACCAGGCAACCTGTACCGTAGAATCCCGCGGATAAGCCCACCCGCCCATGCTCGCGCATAAGCCCAGGCCAAGTTCGAACATAGCGAAGCTTCGTTTTACAAGCCCATGGGCCTAGGTCGTGCCATGTACGTGTCATGTAAATTATTATTATTTATTTGTCTATTTTTTTGTACAATATCAGTCAACGTCATATCAGTCATAAATCACACAATCATCGATTGTTTTTGTTTGCACAGAGATTTTCAGCAATGTACTTCTCACTTCCTTGGTACTTAAACTGTCTTTTCAATAGCACAATTTTGGTGTCGGCGTATAAGCCCATGTCCGCGTATAAGCCCACCAAAATATCCTTGTGAAACAGATAAGCCCAGGGGCTTATGCGAGGGATTCTACGGTATGCTCTCGTCGCCTTCAATGCCCGATGTGATGGTGCATACTTTGGGCTGTTGTGTTTCCGTCATTTGCTGATGAGTAGAGTAGTACTGAGCTTTCGTCTGATTTGTGGATGCATCAATCTGTGTGTGTGTGTGTGTGTGTGTGTGTATACTCAATCTGCGACGTGTGTATATATTATGTGTGAATGTGTATGTGTGTGTGCGTGTGCGTGCATTGCTGTCGTGCAGATGGCACATAGTGGAGCAGGACGCCGAGCACAAGCTTGTCGATCACTGCGGAGGCATACAGATCACAGAGAAAGGCAGTCCATTCATGGTGAAGACAATAGAGGCTGCCATCAAGCAAGGCATGAAGTAAGCTCATCAAACAGTTGCTGGTAGCACCGGCAGCAAAGAGCTTTAAAGTAGCTTTCGTTGTCCTTCTAACACTCCTCTAGCATATCATCGCCATATTAGCCTGAGTATACCACCTAGGTTTGTTTGAAATTGGCTACCTGATGCAGGCTATAATATAGATATACATTGCAGTACATGTATTGCTTATGTCTCATCTGTTGTGTGAAGGTACGAACACATAACTGGTACTGAGTTAAGCCAACGCTATCCGCAGTTCAATGTTGACAACTCCGTTGAGGCTATGGTTGACCCTGAAGCTGGCTATGTGGATGCTGCACAGGCCAATGCTGTTCACGTAGCTCTAGCAAGACAGCGCGGGGCGACGGTTGTTGACAGCTGCAAGGTCAGAGCTTGTCTTGCGCCTGGAGCAATCTTTGTTTCGTTGTTGTCACTTTTCTGCGAGTCTTCGTGCCAGTCGATATTCAATCAGTCGTGAAGCCATCATGCAAATGCAATTTTTCATACAAGCTAGCTTTTAAGCTGAATTGCAGTGCTTCAATGAGCCACGCCAGACCCTTTTTGCCAGAAAATTAATAATTTATAGTGTCACACATCTTTTATGATCTGTATGTATACGCACACCCTTCTCACTGGAAACATGCAGTTTGCTTCCGACTCCTCCAGGCGGGTTGATCGATGGGATGCATGGTGCTGTGCTTTTTTTTTAATGCTTTTCACCGTGCTTGTTGTTGTTGCATTTCTCCAAGGTGTTGAAAATTAAACAGCAGAGTAACTCGACCTACGAGATTGAGACCAGCTGTGGAAAGCTGACAGCCGAGAAGATCATCATCACTTCCGGGGCATGGAGTAACCAGGTAATTGTGCTCAGTGCCCAGTTGAATTCTTTTTTAATTTATTTATCGTCTCCACTTCATGGCACATAATAATACATAGCCAATACAAGAAAGGGAGGGTGAATCCAACCACGGAAAATAGCATCAAAGAAGAAAAGGAAGGGAGGTGTCACCATGTGTCAACAGCAGGTAGCACAATACTATTTTAGCTGAAATGCATCCTTGAAAGCTGAGAGAGACTGTGAACAGTGAATATTATAAGAGAGTTTGAGCCAAATGTGTAAGCCATAAAGACAGGTGATTCGATCATTAGGGACAATCGAGGGGAAGGTAATGATACCTGGTGTCTTGTATTTCTCTCTCCCTGGAACCAATCATATTTCTTGAAGTGCCTGGGAATTTGCTTCAAAGGGGAACTGTCACCAAAACAATTCTTTGTCTTATCTTGTAGTTCCTTGGCTCCTGATCACGTTGGTGTTATTCGTTTTCTCTGCGATGACCGGAAGTGGGTGAAAACTTGAAAAGAAGGTGCCCAAAATTGTCCCGAAGTGCCGAGTGACGTCACGCCGGACTTGACCTCCACGCGTATATTCGTCGTCAAAAACGAAGTCCAGCACCATCGTGATCAGGAGCTAAGGAACTACAAGATAAGACAAAGAAAAATGTGGTGACAGTTCCCATATATGATAAATTCTCTGAACGAGTCCACACAGGTGTGCTTGGCATCTATCAGCAAGTGGAGAGGAGGCTACGAGAGAGTATAATATTATATGCTTACTGTTATGCATGAGGGATTTTCCAAATAGCCGTTTAATTATTTTTCTATGGTGAATTTCAAGCTTGGAAACAGCAGCTGCACTAAGACCACACCATGCTTTGTCAGCGTAATCAAATAAAGGCAGAATATAGCATCGGTAGAATAGAATCTTGCAACTGTTTGGGAGATGGGAAAATGAGAGAGCAAGGCTCCAAGAGCAGAGCTGGTACGACAACGCACAGAATTCATATGTTCCGACCACGAAAGAGCAGAATCAATCACTACTCCTAGGTGTTTGTGACTGCTCATCATCTCAATAGGCTGGGGAGATCCTGGGAAATACAACGCAATGTTATCTGCCGACGCACAACCGATGAATGACTACAATCCATTCATAAAGAATTGACCTCTGGACATTTGAACTTTTGAAATTCAATTTAAACCAAACTTTAGGCTCGACACCAGATTATATTTCTGCCGGAAATGGGTTGGGACAAGGATGTGCTAAACCCGACCGAAACATTCAAAACCTGACCAAAAACTGGAAATTCTTATGGTCCACCTTTTCGTGAAAGACACCAAAAACGTAATAATCGGAAGAGCTTTCCATACTGCATGGCAATAACAAATCTCAAACAGGTCAATCGTTGATGTTAGTGGCCGGCAAAAGCAAGATGACCATTTTTCTGAATCAATGTACTGTAGTCAGGATGCTGTGTGGCATGTGACACAGCGATAGATACTGAGTTAGAAACAGTTGCTGAAATCTTGCCAAAATACGCAGGTTAGTGAGAGCTGACTACTACAGAATAGCTCCATGGCCTACAGTTGTACATATACAGCGTGAGCATACACGATTTGTATTACAACCTGCTCGACTGACGGTTCTCCGTTTGTCGTGCACTTCGCTTCTTGTCCCCCTTTCTGATGATTTGGATCATGCACTCACCTCACGCAGATGCTTGGCAGCTTTGGTGTTACTCTCCCGCTGAAAGTCACCCAGGAACAAGTGCATTACTATGCCACGCCGAACATCCAAGACTTCATGCCTGCAAAGTAGGACCAGTGGTCCAGTTCTCTCAGCAGTCCGCATGCAGCCTAATCAAAGTTTGACGGATATATTTTTAATTTTAGTACAGGGCGTGTTTCGCTCGTGCCAGGCCGCCACCATGCCTAAGCTGGTTGTGTTTCTCAACGCATTTGTATAGCCAGTTGTAACGCGGACGTGAGAACATTACTTACTCACTTTACAGGGCTATGCTGGTACCGAAGTTTGCAATGGAACAGTTGCTTGTGTCGTTTGGCTCAGCCCTCGCGGTGCTAAGCACTTTTGCAAGTGATTAGTACCTCGGCTTGGTTGTGGGTATGAGAGACGCCATTCTGACAGGGGTTCCAGCTGATTTACGTCAGTACATGTGTGATAACGTCAAACAATTATAGTGTCGACCCGCTTACTAATGCTCAATGGTTCATTTTGATATGGCGAGAGGAAAAAGCACTTGTCAGTAACATTGGTGCGATATTCCGATATGACCAATCACTCCTGTTTTTTTTGTTTTTTTCTCCTTTTTTTCCCTTTTCAATTCCCTCAACCCATGAATGCGTTGTGTCGGTGCAGGTTTCCAGTAGTTATGTGGATGATGTGCAACATGTGCTACTATGCCATGCCCATCCATGGCGTCATAGCCCTGAAGGTGGGCATTGATAATGGCGGAGCAGAGGTGACGGCCGATCAGAGAAGCTTCACACCGGATGAGCTCAACATGGAGAAAACGGACACATTTGTCAAGCGTTTCTTACCCAAGGTACAGAAAGGAAAGCTTTGTTGTGCTCACATCAACCAACAAACTATTCTCACTGGAGCGCAGAGATATGGTACTTTTGCAAATACAGTAAACTATGAGTAGAACGCGTCCAATCAGTGCATAGATCTAAATATTCCCATTCTGAATACACAGTCTAACATCTGTAAGAAGGAAGTCCGAGTATGATGAAAACATGCTGCCCGTTTATGTGTGTGTATGTGTGTGTGCGTGTGTGTGTGTATGTGTGTGTGTGTGTGTGTGTGTGTGTGTGTGGTGTGTGTGTGTGCGTGCGTGCGTGCGTGCGTGCGTGCGTGTGTGTGTGTGTGTGTGTGTGTGTGTGTGTGTGTGTGTGTGTGTGTGTGTGCATGTGCATGTGTGCGATTGGGTTTTTTACCAATTTGAATCTCGTCCTTAGGGATACGGCCCAAAGGCCCAGGTCAAGACCTGCCTCTACACAATGCCACCGGATCGTAACTTTGTCGTGGACACCCTGGTTGGATACGGACACCCGAATGTGTCAGTCTGTGTTGGTGGTGGACATGCCTTCAAGTAAGTGCACAAACTGGTGGGCATAGTAACTGTGTACTGTAAACTTGTGTGATGACTAAGTTTTGCGCCGGTGATATTTGAGCAATTTTAGCGAAAGTGTGTTTTCGCTAGTTTAGCCATGCAAATCGAAATTTTGCATGTACAGTACAGTACCAGTCATCTTTTGTCTGTCAACTCTGAAACTCGAATCGCTAAAATATTTCTTCGCGAACTGGTCCAGATTCAGAAAACGCCAACATTTACAGTTCTGTAGTACAGCAAGTCTCTCTGCACACACAAGAAGACGGATCGACGAGGTTCTGAATTGCTCTCGCAAGAAGGATTCAAGATGATTCGAGAGGGAGGATTCGAGAGAGAGAGAGAGAGAACAGGTGATCGCAATGAATGGACGAGAGCACGAATGTAGCTACCCAGGCCAACGGATAATACGGGAATACGGTAATGCGGAAACTTGTGCGGGGAGAGTGTGGGAGCAAGTAGTTAGAGTACTAGTGAAGTAGAGTAGCGAGAAGCGGAAAAGAATTGCATGCAGTAATTCGTGTATGAGTGTGTGTGTGTGTGTGTGTGTGTGTGTGTGTGTGTGTGTGTGTGTGTGTGTGTGTGTGTGTGTGTGTGTGTGTGTGTGTGTGAAAAAGAGAAAAAGTCACTTCAAGCAGCTGTGTGGTGGATACCAGGCTAAAAATAGTGGCGGTCAATTCATCAGCCTTGCAAGCTGTTGGAATGGTGTAATCCCAGCACAAGTTGCTATGTCTAACATAGCTGTTCGCTATCATCGCTTCCGCGATGGGCATGTCTGAGGTCTGAGGTCTGAGGTGTGTGTGTGTGTGTGTGTACATGCATACATGGGAGAGAGGTCATTAGTGTGTGAGTAATTGCATACTAGTATACGGAATCGTGAACCAAACAGTACCAAGTAGGCTGCTTGTAGCCTTTCAGTCGGCAAGAGCTCATCCTTTGCATGGCAGTTGTTTCTAGGAACTCGCGATGTCCTGGAAGTTCTCATGGCGAATGATGACTAAGCCCGTCACACCATGTAGGAGCAAGAAGAGTGCATATTACTTCATAATATTATTATTAGGGCTGAGGCGGGTGGCATTTTCTTCGGGTATCGGCTTCGGGTAGTTTCCCACGGGTAGCACAGGTACCCCGACCGGGTAAATGTTCCATGGTAACACCACAATGCATCCCTTCCCTTACACACTGTCACTGGGTTGACATGCAGTGTATTATATGAATTTGCACACGTGCACTGTGCATGATGTCATCTGCGCCTTCGGGTTTTCGGGCACTATTCTGTACCCGTCTACCCGAGGTCCTCACGGGTAACAAGTTAGCACGGGTACCCGAATACCCTTGCACACCACTAATTATTATTATGCTGGTAAAACTTACTTTTAAAACAACATTCACACGCAGGAGGCTGAGTTCAATGGGTTGTATCACCAACAAGAAACCTGCGAAAGCTGCCTTCTCTTTACTCTGTATTTTACTGCCTCCATACATCATTTTAAAAACTACGCAATCAAGGCCAGTCGAGGCAGCTCAAATATGGTGCTCAAGGGTCTGCTTTAAGAAGTACATAATGCAACTCGTGGCAAGCAGAATCTTCACTCCGTACCAGATGAAATGTACATGCAGATGATGTACAGTGTACCGTTTTTCACCAAATATATATGTTGGACTCAGTAGAGCGTCCAGCCCCTATATGATGTCCAACCCCTATATAGAGTCCATTGGTCCAAAATCCACTGTACAGAGTCCAAACTTGGAATCAACTGTGAGCTCAAAGTTTAGATGGACATCACTCCCTGTATAGAGTCCAGCCAATTGGCTTCACCCCTATATAGAGTCCATTGGTCCAAAATCAACTGTACGGAGTCCAAACTTTGAAATCAACTATAAAGATTAAAGATTCTTTATGTGGACAACACTCTGTATAAAGTCCAGCCAATTAAGCAAGCATCCCCTAACGAGTTCGAAATTAGACATAGGATCTGCTGTAAGCAGTGAATATTAACCAGAAAACGGCCTCTCCCTTTAATCCTTTACATCATTCACTTCTCAAGAAAAAAATATGTATTGAGGCGCCGCTGCAGCCACTTCATTACATGAAAAAGCCTACAAACACCATCCTCAAATCAAGTGGTCTCTTCGCAGACGCTGCAAATTAAAATATCTCAATCATGTAGTGTTGCCAAATTATTGTGCACGCACACACACATGCACACACCCACACAACGCCAAGAAAATACCTAGGAAAAAACAAGAATCGAAATAGAATAATGGAGAGCCCAGGATTAATTATTTGTTTTCAAATTATTGCGCGCGCGCGCACACACACACACACACACGCACACACACACACACACACACACACACACACACACACACACACACACACACACAAACTTACACAACGCCAAGAAAACACCAAGAAAAGAGTAGAGACACAATACACGCGCAACTCCAACAGCCATACAAACGTCCACCCATTTACACGTAAAGTCAAGAGGGATAACAAATAATTATACGAAACGAATGCATACAGGGACGGGTACACGCACGTTTACATACACGTAGTAGTGTAAGAGAGTAACATAGTGCAGTGGTCAGCATAATACTAGCACATGCTGAGAGTGCAATAGCAAGCTTCACCCTTGCTCATGGCCATGCAAATGTTCAGCAGCACTCAGTTCCGCAAGCTTCTGAAGATCAGCACACCTGCAACAAATAGACAGCACACGGGTACGCTTATTACCGTAATGATGCATGGGAGCACACAACAACCAAGTTCTCAACGAATGTGATGCTCAATGAAAATCAATCCACTCCAAGACCTGTGAACAGGTGACGGTGGGGACAATAATCTATTAGTAATACGAGGAATAAGATCGTTTGTGCACACTCAAGACGCACAGACACACCAACATCACAATGTCATGTTCGTGACATCAAAACGGTTACTTCAGGGAATACAAGTATTAGCTTGAGAAGCTTTTTCTTGTCATTGGCAAACAAGCAATCCTCCTACTACTACTAGTACACTGGCACTGCGTTTGTGGATCCCATTGTATTTGACATCATACTAGAGGAAGAGTGTCGTGGAGTTTCACATAATTATCACAGGGATAAAAATACATTTCTCATGAAATAATTATAATTATCCATATAAAAATCGCTCTGTGAGCGGTTTTGAAAAGCCTTTACTGGTACTGCCCCGTCGTAAAAGTAAGAAATTAGAACTGGCCCATTGTTCCCCCAAATGCGAACTGATCCACCTAAATCGCGAATGACGGGACCCGAACGCACCAGTAGCACGAGGTCGGGAGGGCACAGGATCACGGCAATTATCATAGGGTAACACCAGTAGTAGTAGTAGAATTTATTATTTTGATAGGGAAGCCTACCGCTAGTACAGTACATGGCCTATGGTCCGGACCAACGTCCCCATCTGCATCCACAGGTAGGAACCTCGTGCTACTGGTGCGTTCGGGTCCCGTCATTCGCGATTTAGGTGGATCAGTTCGCATTTGGGGGAACAATGGGCCAGTTCTAATTTCTTACTTTTACGACGGGGCAGTACCAGTAAAGGCTTTTCAAAACCGCTCACAGAGCGATTTTTATATGGATAATTTCAGCTCTTTTTCCGTTCCCTCCCCACCCCAACCCCGAAGGTAAACATGATGACCACGCGCGCGATGTACTGTATGTAGCCATGCGACTGCAATAACACACTGATACATACCAGCCCTCCCCGCTTTGCTACCCCGCACACAGATACACAAACATGTGTATGCACACGGCACACACACGTGGCCACGCACACATACGCACATGCACACGGCACAAACAGGAAATTCTTCATGTATAATGCCATGCAAAGCAGTGGCCACCGTACTTGAGGAAGTCAGTTGTGAAACAAAAATAATTCAACTACAGCGTGTAGACAAGCTGACGGCCAAAGCACAACATAGCAAACATGACATTTGCCCAAGGATTGCAGTTTGCAGACCATGCCATGGAAGCAGCGAATACAGAATGTAATATCATACAAAGTGACAAGCAAGGACGTGGCCATCATACAGCAGAAACTTGCAGAAAGTCACATATCCAACAGATAGAGAAGTGAACAGCAATCTGATACAGCCCACACAGGACAAAGCGGACCTGATACTCGTCCCAGGATCGCAAGTGGCAAACCCTTTTCAATGCATAACATGCAGGTGTACGTTAGACGCATGAACATCTGACCGTGTCGCCAGCATACAATGTCATCACATGTTTACCCCACAAGTTACACACATGCACAGTAGAAGCACAATGAAAGCAATGGAAAAGTACGATGTGGTTGCTGAAGCATCTTCACACTTCAAATTCAGACTTCAATGTGGTCGTCACGGGATGATATACCTGCAAGATACAAGTGATGAAGAAAGAAAGCAGAAGGTCGTGAGGTAGGCTATGAGACACCACAAACGGTTCACCTACATGTCTGTTCAGGGCTAGTGCACTCACACGGAGAATTGTCATAATCGAGCATTTCTCAAACTGAGAAGTGCAATGAAATCCACTTGCATGCACAGGAGCAATTTTGCAATATTATGATGCGCAATTCGACACGATCTGCGATGCTGCGTGCGATGTGCCCTGCTGTCATGATAGTGACAGTCACTGCGGTATGTTTTGTCAACGTCGCCCGTGCACTCTTCTGTCAAGTCCAAAGTGCTCACATACTTGGCAATGTTTTTGCAGTGATTAACTTTTATCCTAGCTTTCTTTTTTACTCTCTTTCTCACTCCTGTGTGCAGCCACACCATACGTGCTCCCACCCCTAACACACCTCAGTCACATGCACACCCACATACACACGCACACAGCAACAACAAACAGCCTCTGCAGGGACAGCAGCAACAGCAAGAAGAAAAAGAATGAAGTACCCGCAGGCCGTGTCGATCTGCACATCGTCCACTCTCTCATGTACTTGGCCTGCTTTGTCTGTG